TATATATATGTGTTAAATGTTTTTTATAAATATCTTAATCTGATTTTTTGTTTTTCTTGGGTATTCACAAAAAAAAGGGCAACCAGCAAACAAATGACTGATTCCCTCCATAGTCATTGTTTCTTTATTGCTCCCTGCTTAAGAAGTGACAGTTTCTTTTTATCTGCAATCAAAGTGTCAGAGGAGTGTTTAATTCCATATTTCATATTCATATTTTCAGCTCCTTGAAAGCTCTTGGTGAACAATTTAGCAGAATTATTTAATTCCTTCTACTGACAATCATTAATGTAAATTCTTCTTCATTACAAATCAGTTTGCTTTAATTGTAAGTCACATGGTGTTGTTTTTGTGTGTTTTTTTTTTTTTCCTTTATGCATGTGGGCTGTTTAATTATGTATTGTACAACTACCTAAAATTCTTTTCTATGGAACTAGCTGAGATTTGCTAAATATCCTTAAATTTTCTAAAACTGTGAGGTTGAGTGACTGGGTTTTTTTACTGTCTTATATTTGTCATCCATCACTGCTAGACACATGTATTGTATAAGTGAAAGCTGTTTTCTGGTGGAAAGAGATGTGAGATGTGTATGATGTTTTATGCTACACAAAGTGGTTTTAGATGTTATTTTTTTGGATGGAATGCTTTAAAATTTTTGATGATTCATGTGCTATTGATCACCCTCATTACCCTTCTTATCTGAAGAAAAAATCTTGCATAGTTTCTAAAATAAATGTGTGGGTAAATAAAACTGTTTACTCTATTTATATTAAACGTGTCAAACAGTTTCTTTTTAGTTGAAGACTGACAAGTTTGTCTTCTTCACAAATATTAGTTGTGTCAAGCAGTGTGGTTTAATATTTGGATATTAGGTGCTACGCAATTAAGTTTGTTTCAAAGGTGGATTGAAAACTGCATTGAAGTACCAGTGAATTGCTCTTGTTGATTCTAAATCACCTTGGTGTTTTGAATTGTGCATGTAAGTATATGTGTAATGATAGAGACACGTGTGCTGGGTCTTTATGCAGATTCTGGGGCAGCACATTAACGACTTCATCCTTCCTGATGTTAACCTGATTGGAGAGCACGCTGATGCTGCAGAGCTTGGGAGAATGCTTCAGCTTATTTTGGGATGCGCTGTAAACTGTGAACAGAAGCAAGGTAATATGTTTTAGAAGCATGTTTTCTCCCAGGCAGTGAATGAAAATCCAGCTTGTTCTTTAACTGCTTAGGGGGAAAGTGATATTTCTCAGGTTGCTGTCGGAGACAAATTTTTTTTCTTTTTTTTTTTTCCCCAGTGACAACATTCTTTTGTCCTACACATAAAAAGTGTTATTTTGTTACAAGTTTCATTACTTCTGGAGTCTAAAACTGGGGAACTGGCTTTACTTCCAGCATACATATTTTCAGTTTTTGTTTGCTGCTCTGAAAAGGCACTTTACAAAGGGAAATTCTTGGCCCACCGTTTAAGCATTTGTGAGGCAGATCAGGCTAGTTAAGAATCAAAGTGTGATTGTTGTATTATTCTATGTGACTCTTAGGAATACATTCTGGTTAGCATCTTAACTACATGGCTGAGAGCCATCAGTATGGCTGGGATTGATCTGAAAATGGCAGGTGTGATCTGGGGTACTGTCGTTTCTAAGACTTCTAGGTGGGGCTGGCAAATAGGATAAAGTAGTGTCGGCAGCCGTGCCCTTCTGGGCAGCTGCTGAAGACTGAGCATGATACTTCAAGGGCATCCAAAATGTTGTCTGAGGCATCTGTTAGATGACTGAGTCCCACTCAGCAGTCACTGAAATAAACTTCTGCCTTTCTTGACTCCAGTGGCACCAACTGTCTATTTGACCTGCAGAGATAAAATAGAGACTTATCCATTTTTCCTGCAGGTGCCAGGGAGGGTATAGTGAACAATGGAGACACTTGTTGAAGTGTCTCAAATCTCATGCTTTAAGCTTGCCTTGGGTGCAGGATGTCTTATCGTTACCCAGTTACTTTAAAATTACACTTAATTCAAGCCAGGTTAAGGTAACAAAGCATCTGCAAACATTTGTTCTTCATACGTTAAACAAGAAGCATAGGAACATGTTTGTAAAATACACATTTGGTTAAATAAAACTGTTTACTTTATTTACATGAAAGTGTGAAACGTGTCTCTTCCTAATTTAGCTAATTTTGGTTTCCTTTCTGACAGAATGACAGACAGGGTTTCAGACCTTCCTCAAGCATTGTGCATCTTAGTTTCTATAGCTTGTTTCCTCTGTCCAGTTTTCTCATCTGGCTTAAATATCTTTTATTTCTCTTTCTGAAATTACATTTGTTCTTCCTTTAATCACAAGACAGTCTGACTATCAATCAAAACAGATAATTTTCTTCCATGAGTACATAACTGTTTTATTAGACTTGTCCTCTCTGTTTTATGTAATATTATTTTCCTTCCTTTTGGTGAATATTTGGCATCCTGAAGTGGGAAGTATATATTATTTGTGTGTTTCTCTTACTCTTTCAGCCTGGGCATTAAAAATGTACATTTGAAATACCAGTACAGTCTAGTTTTACATGCTTTGAGTGAGACTTGGTATGACCTAATTAGTCACTTTGAGGTGACTGATTCCTCGTGTCTTGCTCTTGGGAAAATCATTAAAAGAATACAGGTTGTGTGTAAAAGTGATCGTATCTGACTGGAAACCATATAATACTGGGCAAGTCACAAATTCTTTGACTTGTTTTAAACCTCACAATTTGTCCTCTTAACTGCTGTATCATCTGACAAGGTACCTGTTTTGTAGCTTTTGTCTACATATAGGTGAGGAATGAAAAAGTGGAGGTGACTTATTTGTTACATAGCATAAACAAAACCAGAAAGACATAACAGATATGAAAATACCTTGAAATGAAGATTCTGTAGGAAGGCAGGACATCATTATTGTTAAACTTAAGGAAAAGGACAATGCATGTGTGGATTGCATATTTGTATAGCCTGAATAGTTTGGGAATAAAGTGAGAGAGAGTATAAGTAGTTATTTCAGAAGTGTGAGATGTCAGAAGGAAAAACTGGAGGATAATCATGTACTTTTTTTCATGGTTGCACAGTTCCAGTAAGTTTGGGTTTATGCTTGAACAGATTTCTGATAAAGTCTTGTGTTTGTTGAGATGGACTTGACTGGTGATTATGCATTTTAGTTTTGTCTGGAACCTGGTTGTTTTGTAGGAAGGATACAGCTTCTGATACCATGTTCTGTGTAACTTGAGTTTCACTGATAACATCTCAGAATGCTTTTATTTTCAGAGTACATCCAGACGATAATGATGATGGAAGAATCGGTTCAACATGTTGTCATGACAGCCATCCAGGAGGTATGCTGGGATGCCCACAGTGTGTCAAAGTTCAGCCTTTCAATATTGTACAAAAGTATGCTTTTTGCCATTTTGGTAAAACTTAGTTGGAAGTAAGGAAAATAAGGGCCATACATTTTGCCACTTTACATTGAAAAAATCTTGATTTTTCTGGAGTAAACCAAATGACTAAAGCTTGCTTTATCACAATGAACTCTGGTTGAATGTCCCACTTTTCTTTAAATCTAGAAGATTGACACTTCTAGATGTTTTCGATACTGGGTTCCCTTTCCTTCACCTTTCCCACCCTGTGGTTCCTGAAGTGCACTAGACTGCTTTAATATGAGTAACCAAATAGTGTAGAATTTCTTCAAAATTTGCACCTTGAAATTGTAAAACTCCATGAACTGTTAATTTTAGTAGTTTTACTGGACAAGTGAAAAGAAAGAGAAGCTGCAGTTTTGTCAGCTGCAGTGTTATGAATAGGCTAATGAAGATATTTGTCCTAATACGTTTTTGCAAGTTAGTATGCTGAAGTGTATTTTCTAAAAGTGCCTTTCAGTAGTAAATTAAAACTTTAGTGAAAATTAAACCATAGCATTAGTGACTGCTATAGCCATGAAGTCACCTTGTGACTTTTTAGGATCCCAAAGTGCCTATCAGTCTTCATAGGTGGAGGTTAGGTCTGAGTAGACCAAGTGATGTCCGTGAGACTACAGGAACCCCATCCTGTCACCACTTTGACCAGTGCTGTACCCGTGCAGTTGTGCATCCCGTTGTCTGCGTGTGAACTGCTGTGTTTAACACTGCAAAGAGGACCTTTGAAATGAGTATTGACAGTGCCCTTATGCTAAATAATCTTCCAATCAGAGCTGCCAAGCACCAGGTTGCCTGAGTTTTGGGCTATTTTACTTTTTTTATTTTAACTGTTAATAGAATGTGTTGTTGGATTTATCTGATGTCCTCTTTTATCAAACCTAACTTTCAGCATTGCTTCATTCTGCACTGTATTAAAATGGAAAACCTTCTCCTATCCTCCCTTCTACTGCAAAAAATCTTTTGTTTGCTTTATGCAAAAAGACCTCCTTAATTTGGTAAAATAGCCAGATTTGAAGCAGCCCGCAGTTTTTAGTATTTGGTGATTAAGCATTGAAGTTATTCAGTGTTTGTGCCCTTTCTCAGAGATGGGGAGTAAAAGTGAGGAGAAATCACAGGATGAGAGTCTGTTCTTCTGGAACAGACTTTTGAAACTGAGTGAGTGAAAAACCTTACTACTCAGGTAGTGCTGCAGTTCTGGGTGATTTTAATGCTGTTCTCCAAGCTTAGAAATCCAAGGCATTATGAACCAAATGAGGAATATCCCAGATGCTTACTGAAGAGGTGAGAAAGTCTCTCAAACTTTGACACACTTCGAGAGTGGGACCTCCCTCTGTTGTTTTTCAAAGGTCTTGGGATTCTGGAGAGGCCTTAGTCAACTGGATGCTGGCAAAGGTTGTCCCAGTTTTCAAGATGGGAAAGAAGGAAGACCCTGGTAATTACAGGCCTGTCTGCCTCACTTCAGTGCCTGGTAAAATTATGGAGAAGGCTATTCTGGGAGTTACTGAAGAACACTTGACAGACAATGGTCTTGACAGTCATTGGTCATAGCCAGCATGGGTTCATGAGGCTAAAGTCCTGCTTTACTAACTTACTTTCATTTTATGACAGGGTCTTCCATCTAGCTGGGAAGCCAGTAGATGTTTTTTTTTAAATTATTTTAGCAAAACTTTTGATACTGTCTCTCACAGTTTCCTTTTAGACAAAAGGTCCAGCATACAGCTAGACAAGTCCATAATATGTTGTGGGTGAACAATTTACTGATGGGTCAGGCTCAGATTTCCAGTGCATGGGGCTACACCAGGCTGGTGGCCAGCCATCAGTGGGGCTCCCCAGGGGTCAGCTCTAGGGCTAGTACTCTTCAACGTTTTTATAAATGATCTGGACACAGGAACTGAAGGTACGTTGTTTTGCTGATTATATTGATGTAGGAGGAGCTGTGGGCTCCCTCAAGGTAGAGTGGCCTTACAGCGGGACCTGGATAGACTAAACAGCTGGGCAGTCACCCACCTTATGGAATTTGATGAGAGAAAATTCTGGAATCTGCACCTGAGAAGGGGTAGTCCTGGTATATTTTCAAACTGAGAGACAAGAGGCTGAAGAGCAGCCCCATGGAAAGATCTAGGGGATTGGGTTGATGGCAAGTTGAATATGAGTCAGCAGTGTGCTGTGAAAGCCAAATGGGCCAACCCCATGCTAGGGTGCATCAAGCTCAGCATAGCTAGCCAGCTGAGGAGGGTGTGTGTCTCACTCTGTACTGCACTGGTACAGCCCCACCTCAAGTACTGTGTGCAGTTTTGGGTGTGTCAATAGTTACTGTCCTTCTTATATTAAGAGCACATCCAGAGGATGGTAACCAAGATGGTGAAAGGTCTTGAGGCAAGACTTAGGAGCAACTAGCTAAGGTCCCTTGGTTTGTTCAGCTTGGAGAAGTCTAAGGGGTGACCTCATCTCTCTCCATCTTTCTCAGGGGGGGCAGCAGAGGGGAAGGTGCTGATCTCCTCCATCTGGTGACCACTGATAGGACAGGAGGAAATTGAATGAAGCTGCATCAGGGGAAGTTTAGGTTGAACATTAGGAAAAGGTTTGCCACTGAGAGGGTGGTCAGTCACTGGAACAGGGTCCCGAGCAAAGTGGTTGTGGCCTGTCAGAGTTCAAGGAGCATCTGGACAATGCTCAGTTACATGGTTTAGTTCTGGGTAGTCCTGTGCAGAGCAGAGAGTTGGATGATCTTTATGGCTCCCTTCCAACTTGAAGGTATTCTGTGGTTCTAGTGAGTGTATAGATCCAGAGAGTCTTTTCAGAGCTGCATCTGCGGTCTGTGTCTTTGGAGGGTTGAAACTTCACTGGCTTTAAGGTTTTTTCCTCTGTTGCTTGGACTCAGAGCAGTTCTCAGAATCCATTTGACTTGAACTAAGCCATGTGTAGGAGACACTAAAATGAAGTGCCTGGGAAGGCAGCTACATATGCGTATTTGAAAAGTTGGCCTGTCATCTAATGCAAACATTTCAAAGAGTTTGACATGCAGGTACTCTTTTTTCAAGATTAAGTACATATAAAGACCTCTCTGAGCTTTACTGAAGTGTCACGTAATTATTTTTTCTGTTTCAGTGAAGTACATGTAAATGTTTTTTGATACTCCTTTGTTTTTTACAAATCATGAGCAGATTTATTGAGGCACAGTAGAACAACCCTTGTTTTCTCTTTTTGCATGAAGAGGCTGATTTTCAAAGGGAAGAAGGAACTTCTGATATTAATTTTATTTGGTTATTTCAATTTTTTAAAAAACTTGTATCTCTTCAGCATTTCCTTCTTCATTTACTTAAATATTTTAAATGAAATATTAATAATAAAATATGCCTCATGCTCCATAAGGGTTTTATAAATTGCACAATGCTTTTTTGTCATTTTTACAATGGAGTCAAATTGATGTGTGTTGCCATCACCTAGGTTCTAATGTAGAGATGTGCATTCTAAATTGTGAGGAAGAGTAAGCATTATGTAGCTATGAAAAATACTGCAAAAATATTACAATATTAATAATGTGTTGTACATTCTGTAATATATACTCCTATATTCTGTTCTAATTATTACAATTTATTATTGGTTGCAATTAATGCATTACTATGTATAATAAAACGTTTTTAATTTCCTAGTTTTCAGAAATTTTTTTAGGAAAAAGATTTTCATTATAAGCAGAAGTCATTTTGGCCATGATGTATTTCTTTGTTTAGCTTTCATTGACATGCTTTGGAAATTCTGCAGCCAAGTTCATTGTTGAAAGTGGTAGCTTGGGAAATTGTTTGCCTCTGCTGTTTAGAACATCTCTAAACTAAATGACTTAATCTGTGCAGGTCAAATTGAGACTCAGATCTGACTCTTTAACAGCAAAGTGCTAGAGCTAGTGTGTGTAACAAAAGGTAATTCCTCTCTAGATTAATACAAACTCTGTTACTTCCACAACGCAGAAACTGTTTGTCTTTCGTTTCACCACCCTGCCCTGTATTTTGTCCTGACTTCTTAGAGGTTCATCTTGCATGAAGTTTTTTTTTTAGTAGCTAGGACAGAAAAATATTTTCTTGGGTCTGTCAGTAGCACTGAAGAAGAAAATCCAGCTGCATTAAAGGATACACAGTGTTGCACACAGCCATGGCTCTTGAAAAGCAAACAAACAAAAAGATACTGTAAAAAAGAAAACAGCCCTTCAGGATACAAAAGCTGATTTAGACATTGTTTTGTGGGCATTTAAATGAACTTATAAAATACTAGCAACTGCAGAAGAAGCATTTCAGGTAAAACAAATGTTTTGAAGTTTTTATATCATCAACCAAGGGGTGCACCTGGATTTGCAAAATCATGCAAATTGTGCAGGAAAGAAAAGCATTCATAATTCAGGTTATTCATGCATGCAGATTTTGTGATAGTTTTAGCCCTTCTCTAATCTTTATGTATCCATGGCAACACAACTTGTTCACATTTCACAAGTGAAGCGGTTAAAAAGAGAAGATTTTAATAATATAAAATTAGCAGACCTACAGGTATTTTGTAAGTCATTGTACCAAAGCTATGAGCATGAAAATGTATAGATGTAGAAGGACTAGCAGGGAATGACAACTGCTTCTCATAAAACCAGACAAAGAATTATCAAAGTTGTCACATTGTCCATGTTATTGTACCATTTAAAATCCAGAATGACCTCTTCACCACAGAATAAGCTCTTTTATGATGTTTTGATTATTAGAACAAATATATGTGCTACTTCATATCATCATCCTATATGAAAAAGAAACAAAAAAGAGGGAGGAAATAAATACAAGTTGCTTGCTTCTTCACTGTGGGAAGGTCTTAAGCACACTTCCTTCTACTGTAGAGGCCTAATGCAATTCCTTGATTTTTCAGGCAATTGTTTGGTTCTGCAGGAAATTGTTTTCCCTTTTTAGAATCAATTCACTTGTAAAATATGTGCAAATCATCATATATTAAAGGTACATGTGAAAATAAACGGTAATACTGTACTCAAGCAAAATGCTGAGTTTGGAGCTGAAAGTCAGTTCCAGTGCTGCAGAACTGTGAAGGCAGACCTTTACATATACCTGCAGTTTGCTCCTGGAGGAAAGAAAACTTGCAGCTGAGGAGGGAGAATGAAAAAACAACTTCCTTCTGCATCTTGCTGTTTTGAGTCAGGCAACTGAAATACACATGAGATACAGTTGATCACTCTAAACTTAGAAGTATTGGCATTGACCCATACTTCTCAAGACCATGTGTTCTAATATTATACTTGCAGGTTGCATGTGAAGCACTGAAATTTTTCTTGAGTTTTTCAGGAAATCCTACGACAGATTATTAGATGGGTGTAGTTGTACTGCACTAGCTGTGCTGTTTATGGTAAAGTGTTTGGTATTAAATGGGGTGAAAATGGGTAGAGGCAATCCAGAAGCAGAGCACAGTCAAGACGTTTGCTTACGTATACCATTGTCCTCTACAGTGTGTGGGGAGATATGCAGGGCAAAGGCCAAGGCACTCCTTCACCCTGCTGACTCCCTCTTCACCCTGCTTAACCTCAGTTTCTTGTTAATTGATGATCAGAAGTCGGATTCCTGTATTACTTGTGAGTGATCTGGCAATCTTGTCTGGTCATGCTTTTGGAGGCATCACAATCCCTTAGATTTCTTCTTTAGCGTCCTCACCTGTATCACAGACTGTAAGATTGCAAGATGTTTCTCGTTGTGTTGGGTCAGTCATGTGAACACATGTGGCTCTTGTCCCTGATAATATTCTTGATATTCCCCATGGAGTTAAATTCACAAATTGTGTCATGCTCACACTACACCCACACCTTGTATCATCACTGCCAAATTGTTCTCCAGTTCATGTCCATTTTTCTGGACATTTCTGCTAAGGGTTCTCAAGGATAGGAAATTTTGAAAGAGGTCACAAAACCCATTAAAAGAATAAAAGGATTATGTTATTAGCCTGTTTCCTCTACAGTAATCCACAGAAAGTGGCAACATTACCATGGGCCTCTTAGTGGGTTGTGCAGCCTCTTGTGTTCCTCCTGCTGTATGTCTTGGTCAGACCTATTGGGCTGGGTGTCTGAAGAGGAGATTGTGCTAGGGCCAGAAAGGAGTGCTTGGTGTAGGGAGCTACCGTTACAGACCCTCGCAGGCTGCAGCCTGGGGCCTGCCAGATGGAAAGTACTGGCTTAATGGGTAGAACTTCGTGTGTGAAGTGTGTTTGTGAAAAGTGGTGTGAGATACAGAACAGTAAGAAGAGTTCCCTGTTTGAGTAGTATGAATATCCTTGTTTAGTCATCTGGAAAAGCACTTAAACAGCAGCGTGTGAAACAGAGTAGTTAAAATGTATAAAAATCACAGAGCAGAGAGAGATTAGAAATTCTTCTTTTAGATGGCAAAATGATAATCAATTTAGAAATTTTAGTCCTAAATTAAATCCAAGTTTGTAATGCCACTATATATGTTAATGAAAAAGACATGTGACCTCATTTTTTTTTCCAGGGGCAGCTCTGAGGCTAGGGACTTTGTAATTACTGCTACAGAGAGTCTGAGCTTCATGGAATGCTTCGCTTTGGAGTGGTTTGTCATTGTAAAGAAGTAGACAAAACAGAAGGAATTCAGCTGTTAGCAACAAGCATTGTCAAGTTCTGAGGAGGACTGTTGAGGACAGATGAATTTAGGCATATGTTACGCATCTAAGTCCCAGTTAAGGAGATGGGGAAAGGGACAGAAACATAAGTGTATAAATACTTGGATGAAGTAAATGTCAAAGAGAGATTTTTCTCTTGCACGCTGGTATAAACAGAAAGGATAGAGAAGAAATGAAAGTTCTGTGCTGTGTATCTGAGGAAATTTGCCAGTGAAAAGTAATGTGAAACACTGATTTCAGGAAGGAATAAATTAAGTCCTGTCTCTGGAGACAGTAACCAGGCTGGATAGGAGGCCTTAGGAAAGAAACCTTGTCCTGATTGTTATTAGGATGGTGCCTTTTTGATTGTAATTCCCTTGAATCGTGCCATGTGGAGAACTTGCAAAACATTTCGTGTTTGAACAGGATGACGGAAACCATCATTATAGCTCTGAAATGCTGCCTTTCAAATGAGTAAAAGCATATTTTTTTATTTGGAAGACTGTTCTTTTTTGTGTCTTAAAACTTTCAGTAATTAATTTTATGTTAATATGTTTGCTGGAGGTTGGTGGGAGGAGGTTGGTGAGAGGAGGTCTTTGGGCTACAACTTTTGTTACATTTGATTTAGCATTTAAGTGCCTGTCTAGCTGAGCAGTGGGTTACTGAAAGAAAACTTACTTTCTTATCAGCTTTTTATTTTTTTGTCATTTTGGAGGGCTTATTGGTTTTTAAATTGTGGCTAAAAGTAACATTTTCTAGACTAAACCCACTACCAGCAGTTCTTGCAATAAAATAGCTTAGTATAGAAAGAAATGTAATGCTCGTTTCAGGGGTACTCTCTGTAGACTTTGTCTTTAAATTTGCAAATTACAGACGACTCTAGAGCAGGAAGTTTCATCATCTTTGTTTTGCATGATTAGCTGGGATAGGTATATACCCAACATAAATAAATTAATAGATGTGAACTTTCAGGTGATGAAAAAATGAAAACCACTGGCAGAAAAAAATCTAAGGCAGGTCTTGCATGGTGTGTTGGTTGAGCTACCATCATTCCAATGCCACTACAGTAAAATGTTTAGCACAGTGCATGATAGATTTTATCATAGATAAAGAATGTACATTTTCTGAAGAAAGACAATGTAAAATTTGTTTTTTATTGTGCTTTAACTATTATAAATTCTGAAGATTTCTCTCTGTAATTGTTTCCGAATGTCACATATATAAGAATGAAGTTTAAAACTTTCTAATGAAGTCAGAATGAAGCTCCCAAAAGATGAAATCAGCTTGGTATTTCATTGAAGCTTAGGTTTTGATTTAAAAGTAAATCCTTGCTTTTTCTAATCCAGTGTAATCTAATTGCAGTTGATGAGTAAAGAGTCTCCAGTCTCTCTTGGAAATGATGCTTACATTGACCTTGATCGGCAGGTATCTAAGACCAGATGTTTCTTTTCCTTAATTATAGCACAACAGTGGCCAGTCATTTTGCTTTATTAAGAAGTCTGTTTTTTTTTTTTTTTATCGTGAAACAGTTGTTTTGTGGGAATTTCCAATAAGGAGTAGAAAATTAATTCTAGTATTTCAGGCCCTTTTGCTTTATAAATTGAGTTTAACCATTTTGTGTATTTAACAGAGAAAAACTCAGTTTGGAAAACAAGTTTAGCTGAATGTCATAACAGCAAAACTGCAGCCCAGATACTGCAAATCTGTCAGTACTGAGAAAGAAGAATAAAAAAGTGTTGTATTTGAACAAAACATTTTTTGTCTGTTCCTACTTACCAACATCAGTTTAAAAAAAACCCCTCTAGATGTGGCTCAAAAGTCCTTAAAGCAGTGCTGGCAACTGTTGCAGTATATGAGAACTTTTCAAAAATTATTCGTTGGTTGATACATTTAAAGCATATGCAAAACCGTTGGTGTGGGTTATTTTACACTACTTTAACCTCTTGCTAACACTGATCTACTTCCTCTGTTTTTTTCTGGTTGAGAAGTAGGATAATACAGTGGTGTTCTCAGTGTTTGTCCATCACGTGCTCTCTGCAGAATTATGTAAATTCTGACAGATGGAATTTTTTTATGTCAACAGGCCCTTGAAAAATAAACTTGAAAAAACATGTGATGATGCTGTTTGAAAAAGCGTATCTAAAATTCCTCATATGTAATAAAATATATCTATATCTCTCTATATATGGTATGCATGCACCTGGTTTATCAGGCTAATTTTCATGTAGCTGTGCTTTTTGTTAACTGCATTCATATACAAACTTGCAAGATATTTATCTTTCAACATAAAGACTTTGAAGGGAAGTATCTATTTCCCACTGCTTACAAGATTCAGTACCCTTTTTGGGAAGGGTAGGCATCTCCCTTGCCACGTTACTTGTATTCCTGTGTGCAGTAAGAGTAGCTTCCAGTGACTAGAGAGATTTTACCCTAATTGTCCATTCCCTGTATTCCACCTTCCAGTCCTTTCTGTATTTGAAAAGTAGATTTAAAACTGAAATTATGCACTCTTTGCATCCGTAAAGAAAAGTGGCGTTGACAGTTATTTCAGTGTACAGAGTTGGCAAGTCCTTCAGACCCAAGTTCTTGGAGTTTTTGACTCAGTGCATAGTATAGATGTAATAATTCTAATGTACCTTTAAAGACCAAATATTACTTTCAGGTATGTTTACTTTTTACTGTCACACAAGCCAAAAAGTAATAATCTCTGCTTCTTTATAAGAGCAGAATTACTTCAGTTTTCAAAAAAATTAATACATTACCTAAATGTTAAAATAATTTTAGAGTCATGTAGTTCAAAATATTTTTAGACATTTCACAGTGATGAAAATATAAATGTTTGTGGTTTGTGGTAGCTGAAGAAAACTACAGAAGAATTAAATGAAGCACTCGCAGCAAAAGAAGAAATTGCCCAGAGATGTCATGAGTTAGACATGCAGGTAGGTTTGCTATATTGTACTTATGAATTTTGAAGTGGGAAAGAGATGCCTTAATTTTTAGGCAGGTGAAAACAAGAGTTATAGTGTGGAATCATAATTTCTAAAAGAGAAGTAAAAGTTGCACAGTAATTATTTTGCTTTACTTGTGATAGAAGAGTGAATTTCATTATTTCTTTCTTTTGATACAATATTGCCAGTGTTAAGGTGGTTCATACTAAAAAGGCTTTTTTTTTTCATTCGGGTAGGAAGGGGTTGAGCTCTATGGTTCAGCTCTGTCATTAGAGAACTAATAGAGGTTATGCTGCTGTGACAGTTTCAGTTAAAAGTTAAATCCCAACCAGAAGTTACTGTAGTCTATCAGCTGTGTATGGATTTAGACTAAGCCTTACTATAAATCAAGCATACCTCATCTGGAAGGCACGAGGAGTGTAAAATGGGAGCCCTGGAAGGTATACTCATTGCCAGCCTATTTTGTAGGTGTAATTCAGGCTTTTGCCAAGAAGTTCAGTAAGCTGATTAGCGTGTCATGGTTGATCTTGGTATATCTGATGATTCAAGCTTTTATTGAAACATTGCATTCTATTAAGATGTTGACATTCCCACTCTTCTGCTCCTCTCCTGTATATTAATTCTATGCTATTTAATAATACATGAACCCATGCTTCACCTGTTGAGTTGCAGCACTTAGGGTGCTTTGCACTACTGCCAGTTTCCACAAGTTTGCCAGAAGGTAAGTCATCTTTGGGACTGTGTTCCTATTTCAGGTCCATTTGCAATTGGTCACTGGATTGAAAAAAAACAAACAAAACACAGGAAAAAAAAAAAAAAAAACAAAACCAAAAAACCCCCAAAAAAACCCCACCAAACCATCTAGGGAAGGTACAACCTTCCTCTGGATATCCAGACCTGGATGTTCTGTCCAATTGATAGGCATAGTTGGTTTTGGAAACCAGTTTTAACAGCTTTACTGTGGAAGGCTGGTTTTAACTGTTTGTTGGGAAGTGATGTGGACTTGAGTATAATAAAGTTGTCTTCTGTGGTAACTAAGACTTCTTCTGTAGATGGTTGTGCGAAATACAGTTAAGAATAGTTATGTTTTCTGTGTGATAATCTGCTCCTAACATTGCAATATGTTGGTTACATCACATAGCAATTGAATACCTATTAATGTATTCCATGTGTACATGTGCAACGTTATTACTGAAGCCCTGTGTCTCCATTTATGGGTTGTGTAGATACTTTACTATACACATGAAAAAAAAATTGCTTTCCATAGCTAGTTAGCTCAGTTATTTCAGTTTATGCTTTTATTACAACAGGTTGCAGCACTCCAGGAGGAGAAGAGCAGCTTGCTTGCTGAGAATCAAATTTTGATGGAACGTTTAAATCAGTCTGATTCTATTGAAGATCCCAACAGCCCTGCAGGTCGTAGGCACTTCCAGCTGCAGACACAACTGGAACAACTCCAAGAAGAAACATTCAGGTAGAAAAGCTACGCTTGGTTAGATTGTTCGTAGCTGGCAACAGACATGACTTACATACTTCTGGTTCTGCTGGCAACTATGAATTACTATAATTGGTGGAATAATGAGAGTAGCAATGTTCTTACAGCAATGTACGTGTTACAATTTACTTCTTTGCAAGCTCCAGCATAAAAAAAGTGTATTTCTTAATACTGAAGTGCTGTGTACATGTCACTCTCTACTCTGTGAAGTTACTTTGAATTGTGTGCAGTCATTTCACCCATATTTTCCAAAATCAGTGAGAATGAAACATAGCATGCTTTCCTTTGTGTAAATTACTGTGATTTTTTTTTAAGGTGTAGGGATTCTGGCTAAAAGTTTGCTATGTGAAGTACTGCTGGTGGTATACAGAAAAATGTGTCCTACCCTGCGTTTGAAATAAAAATTGTTTCATAGCTGGAAGATGGAGATTATCATCAAGTGAGCTCTGGTTTTCATTTACATTTTCTCAACACGTGGAAATGCAGTTCGCCTTTAAATATTCTTCCTGCTCCTTTAGCCTCTTCCTTTCAGGGTGTGTTAAACTTACTCTGATGAAGAAAGCTAGTCCACTTCACCATTATCTCTTCATTCTTGTTGCTGTGTTTTCCCTATCCTTTGCAAGTGAAACTATGGCATTTTCTTTACACTGCCAGTTTTAGTTCTTTCTGTCCTCTTCTGGTTGCCCTTTTGTAATTCTTATGTCAACTCCGATGTAACTTTCCTTGTTTGCCTGTTCTGCTGTTTTTTTTTCAGTTCCTCTTGCTTGGACTCTTTGCTGCATGTTCAGACACAGTTCTCCCTTCAGTTCCTTGAAAACGTTCAATGTTTCACGGCAGTTAGAGCCTGGTTTTCTTCTTTCTGTACATCTACCATGTAGAGGAATCATCTAGTGATGTCTCTCCATCGCCCCCTTTTGTCTCTCCTTATTTATCTCCATGCTCTGAAATGATTCTTGAGTCTGTTACCAACTGCTGTTTGAGCAGATTTTCTCACCATATGCAATATCTGCACTGCCTGTTACTGTAGTTTCAGGTTATGAAGGTCTTTCTAAACCCTTTTCACCTGTGAGACCCATCTCCCAATCTCCTTTACCTCCTTCCCTTGCCATCATAGCGTGTGGCTTCTAACAGCAATTTGTGTGTTCCTTTTCCAGCATTTGCCCAGACAGGACATATGTACAACTTAATTGATGCCCATTGTGGTACAACAGTTTTTCTCCCCATCTTGCCTCTTTATGCCCTTTGACAGTTCCTGTCTATCATGATCTAAATCTGTTGTACGTGGTTTAGATGACCTACTGACTACCTCTTGTCTCCATTCTTTTCAGATTCTTGAATTAACGGATAGAATACTGTTGTGTGTATTTGGATATTTTTTTTCCCATGCCTGTACCTCCTTTTCTGGATTCTTTTTATTTCAGATCACAATAAGACTTTGTGTTCCAGATTGTGTCCTCTTCCATTCGTTCAAAATGATTTGACAAAGATTCTCTTGGTTATTGCCTTTGTTCACTGCCAGGTTAATGCAGCTTTGCCTGTGTATGCTGTATGTAACTAGTTCCCTCCAGAAACTTCAGTCTGAGTTCGTTACGTGATAACTATTTATTTAAATGTATGACTTGGTTCTTAAGAGGTACTGGGCAGGCACAGGTTTTTTGTAAGTGAGTAAATAAAGCCACCTTGGTGAGAGTTCTACAGCATTTAGAACATCTGACAATCAGGTAAATATTCTTTAAGGTATACAGGAGCTGAAAAAAAACCCTTAGGATAAAGATGTCTTGTTCAAACTCTGTATGCCCCAAGAAGAAAAAAGATAATTTCTCCTTGAGCTTTCATTGTGAAAAATAACTATGACAGGAAAAATTCAGGACTTGTCTTTCTGAGAACATGGAGTATCTTGTGATCTTCCAAACAGAAAGACTGATACCAGTTTTTGAGCATCAAAAAAGTCAATTTGCTTCTATTTTTGTGTATAATCACACTGGGCTGCTGTTCTTCTCTGCACCAGAAGGCTTTCGCATGTGTTTTCAGAGAGGATGGTGATGAGGAAGGGTAACTGGCTCAAGCTGAGAAACTGTTGTCTATTTTACTTTATTTCTACAGATTAGAAGCTGCCAAAGACGACTATCGAATACGCTGTGAGGAACTAGAGAAGGAAATTGCTGAACTGAGGCAACAAACGGAAGAGCTTACTACATTGGCAGAGGAGGCTCAGTCTTTGAAGGATGAGATTGACGTACTCAGGTAAACTCTGTTTCATTAACCCTTTTTAAATTATTAACTTTTAATCTATATAGTTCATGTACTTAGTATTGATTAGCTTTTGTTTAAGTAATTCTAATGTTAGATACAAACACTTTCTCAATGCCAAGGTTCTTTTTGATCCTCCACTGAAGTATACAGACCCCCACACAATTCTCCTTAAGTAAATTTGTTATTTTTTATGTACCTATTCAATAGCTATCAGTGAACTTGGCAATCCTACACCATCATATGGCCATACAAGTCACTCAGTGGTCTTTTGAGTACTCTCTACTCACCCTCATCATGATGTGGGCATCTGCTCTCATAGGGAGCTAGACCATTTCGTTTCCTGGGTTTGCATTATTTGGACTTCGGGTGGTGCTTTCGCTTCATCATATAATGCTAATATGGATAACATCCTTTACAGCTCTCTTTGCCACTGCATGTTAGCACCAAAGGTTGTCATGGTTTGATGATGCCAAGGGTTTACAGGGTGGGGCAGCCCTGTTTACTGTAGAACATAATCCTTCAGTAGGAGTGTCTTGCTGCCTTGGATTATTCAGAGCAGGTATCCACCGCCCACCTGTATCCCTCTTTCTAGCAAGTCTAGCAAGGCTTATTTTCATAGTCCCTTTCCTAAATCACTGGTGGCTTTCTACCAAAGATATTTGTCTTTACCTCCTCTGTCATTAATATCAGGAATGAGCCCATCAGGCAGCACAGTTCTGTGAGCTATCTGTGTGGGCAGCATGGGTTCCAAAGAGTAATTTCTTGGCCCCGGAGAGAGGCTCTGTCCTTCACTGGAGATTAAGGAGATTTGACTTGCATCAGTCTCCCATAAATTTACCATCCTTTCAGTGGGGGATTCTCCACATTTCATTGGAAATTGAGTCTGTAAATAGGTTGGTCCTAAAATGAAACTGGGGACAGTAATAGTAGGAGGGGTGTAGATGGGTGGTGGTGAGGTCTGTTGCTATCCTGGCAGTGCACCAGGTGGATTGGAAAAACTTTGAAGTGTTATGAATGTAGTCTGGTGTTTATTTTTTTTTTTTTAGAAGGGATCAGGCTCCAAAGCTGTTATAATACTTCTGTATCACCAAATATACGCTGCTCAGGAGATAGTTCTTTGTGACTTTATTCCTGGCTATCATTCAACAAATTGAAGGGCAGAAAATTTTGTTCTTCATACTTGTAAAATGCAGGACTGAGGATTGATTTAGAATTGAAAATAAATGGGTGGTACTGAAGCTATTATTTTGAAAGGTTTGAGGCAGAAAAGAGGACTGTAATAGGAAAAGTGATAGTGTCTAGAAGTAGCTCCATCAGCAGCTCTTTGAGTTGGCAAATAGTTACAGTAGGGAATCAGACAATTTAAAAGTGAAAACATTAGTGATGGGGGATGTGATTCCTTTCTTATTCTCCCTGTGATGTCTCAGAATGTCTTCTGCATTAACACAAAACACTGAGGAAGCTTCAGGACATTTCATTTTGGTAGCTTTTGGAGTACACATTTGACGCAAATCTGTCCCTCCAGGCATTCTTCTGATAAAGTAGCCAAGTTAGAAAGCCAGGTAGAGTCCTACAAAAAGAAATTGGAAGATCTGGGTGATTTGCGACGGCAAGTGAAACTCTTAGAAGAGAAGAATACAGTGTACATGCAAAATACTGTGAGCCTGGAAGAAGAACTAAGGAAGGCCAATGCAGCACGCATTCAACTGGAAACATACAAGAGACAGGTGAGAACAGCTCTTTATATTGTTCAACACTTTCTCTTCGGATGTGGCTAATGCCTCAAAGGAAAAAAGAAATTATGGACAAAAAGCTCCTTGTGTTTGGAAGGCTTCCGTGTTTTATAGGTGCTAACTTTGTCCTCCTTTCCTGCAATTCTTATCACCATTTCAAGTTTACAATAAGCAATGCTCTTTACTCCTAAAAAACCAACAGATGTTAAGGTATTTTATTTCTAAAATTATTCCTAATTCATATTAAGTATTTGGACTTGAATGACAGCTTCTTCTTTCAGAAAATAGTACCCATTTTTCACTTAAAAAATTCCAGCAGTGAGGACCACACCACAGCTGAGGTAAGTTATTCTTCTGATTAAATAACCTCTTTTTTTAAGGCTCTGATTTAGCTGGTACATCTGAATTTCTCCAGTTACGAAGAGAGGACACATCACCCCTGTTTATATGCATCTAGCAGGGTACAAAATGTTTCACCAGCACATTCTCTGCAGTGAAAGACATCTGTTTATCTGCCTGCTGATAAAGTGCCGTGTGATCCTGCTTCTGTAAAGGTGGAAGGTGTGCTTAATCTTCTCTCTGCTTGTACACAACATTGATGTGTTGTCATTCTGAGATTCCTGTTACGGGCCAGACAGAGTGTGGTTTATTGAAGTCGTAGTGCTTGCTCTGTGTTTCTGCCTGCCCATAAGCTTGAATGGTCATGGCACAGGAGTCCTATATATCAGCTTGCAACAGAACAAAAACACAGAAACAACCTTGCAAGCCCAGGAGAAATGTGTCCTTAAGACTTGATAGCTTATTCACTGCACCTGGTCATCTTAGTTATTAAGACAACTAGCTTCAGCCTCTGTGGTCTAATTGTAACTACACTACAAAGGATTCCACCAGAAAAAGAGTTGGACAAGAAAAATGCTGAGGTAACAGAAAGCAATAGCCTTTCACACATGAGTACTATCATGTTTACTGGCAACAAATATTTTGCTCCATTGAACAATTGAGCATGTGATACAGTTGTGTAACCTCAACATCTGCATCTGACTGTTCTTATTTCACCAATCATAAGACTTGTCAAAGGGCAGGTCCATCGTTTGTGCCGCAAAACCACTCCTTTATTCCCTGTCTGTTACGGGTAGGATTTCTTGTCTTAGATGCAGTTGATCTGTACAAAACTGTTCTACTGGCTGAGACTGGAATAAACCACAGGTGTCTTGTGACAGATAAGAGTTTTATTCATCTAGCTGCAGTGCCTTAGAAGGAACACAGTGTGTTTACCTTCAGTATCTGTAAGGCTGGGCTCCTTTTGGGACATGCCTGTGAATCATGACCTGTTGCAAAATTAATTTCTAGGAGTCCTAAATTGTGCTATAAGAGTTAAACCAGGTATAAGAATTCTGATGTTATGTTACTGCTGAGCACTAGTGTGCCCCTGTAGTGTCTTATCTGGTGCCTAAAGGATCCAACACTACTCATGATGATGCCATCCAAGGAGTTCTTTGGCTTAGAAGCTCTGTGCTGTGCAGATGAAAGTGCTTTGCTCAAACTCCTGTAGTGATCTGCAAGGAAATCACCTCTTCACCCCACCCAGCAGTTTCTGTGAGATGAGGTTAGTGGTGGTGTGTTGTGCTGGGAGATGTAATAACATTTATTTAAGACTTTTTGCTCATTCTTCTGAAAGAAAGCACAAACATTTTCTAAGAAACTTTCTATTGGAGCATGAAGAATTGAAATGTGAAGATTCCAGAATCGTTTTTTGTAATTTTAATTCAGCCCCTTTGTGCATGCACGCTCTGGTATAGTTTTAACAGTACGTCTTGCTTTTCTTTGCTGCAAGATTCCTGCTTTGCTCGTTCAACACATCATATAATGCTCAGTAAATGTGATAGCAGTTCTTCTTTTTATATATATATTCTGCATTACTGTGAAGTTGTGTATACAGTCCCAAGTCCAAATTCAAGACTATTTACTGCTGTGTGTTTCTACATACCATTACCATAGCATGAGTGATTACAAACATTAATGCATTCATTTCCATATGAGGTGAAAAGACACCTATTTTGGCAGTGGGGGTGCAATCACAGGTGAGGGCCTGCTTTTTTTTTATTTATGCTTGCAGTTATTCTGTTAGCCCCAGTGATGAATATCACATCTGAGAAACTATGTATTTACATAGATCTCATTTTGAGATACTTCTCTAAAATCTGATAATCCCAGAGATGGCAGATTGTGCTTTTTTTTTGCAGCCTTTAATTTAGGAGCAGCAAAGTCCTTCTCTAAAACGGAAGAATATGCAGTAATATTTAGTAGTATATAGGGCTAGTAGTTATTTTGCTATAGCTCTGCACATTGAAAATAAAAGGTAATTAGATCCACTAGCCTGTCTTTATGTAGGTATGGCTGCTGCTTTGCATCACAATTTAAGTAAATCACTTTTACTGTAATCTAAAAGCCATGAAAAACCTGTCTTATTAATTACTTCAGAAGGTGCTGTAAGTCTTTAGCTGAGTCTTCATTCAGCTTTTGTGTCTCCAGGTCAGTCTTTATTCAGCTTACTTGCTTCCATGCGCTCTGCTTTATAATCTTTGCTAATGTTCTGGGAATGAGCCTTTGCTAGTAAAGGTTGAGAGTTTTCAAAAGGCAAGACTTCAACGATTTGCCTCCTGTTCACTAATCATTTCTGCTCAGCTTTCAGATTTCTGATTATTTAATTTTAAAAGCCCTTACTGATCTGTAGCTGAAAATATATGTGGAACTTTGTTGGCCATGTTTCCTCCTGAAGTAAAGAAAACTATTTATGAGCCTGTGGCTGAATATTTATATTAGCATATTAAAGAGTATTTGGAGAATCTCATGTTTAGAAATGTTACCTGACTGCATAAACTGATGGTTGAATTACAAGTGAGGCTTGTGAAACAGAATTAACAAAAGGTGTAGATCATTTGCTTTCTTCAGAACTGTTTCTTTTTCCTAGTCTTCTCAGAATGCAGGAAGATTTTTCTACTTTTCCTGAGCTTTTAGATCCATAGAACTATATAGGTTTTTTTATTGTAAACCCTGCTTGTGCTTAAATTCTTGGGTTTAGATGTACGGAAAATGTTTCTCAGTTTTTACTTCTTTTGCTTGTGAGAAGACCTAATATTTGAATGCTGTTGCCTTTCATGAAATAGAACAACTGATGAAAGCAGCTTTTAGTAAGTATAGGTGACTATATCACTTGTTTACAGCAACTCATGGTGCATGGTTACTGGCTACTGTGTCTTGTGTATTTTGTTTTAATATTGGTATTTGCAGACAAATTATTGATTCTTGTTCTCACAGGCAGTTGAACTACAAAACAGGTTATCTGAAGAATCCAAGAAAGCTGATAAATTAGATTATGAATGCAAACGACTGAAAGAAAAAGTAGACAGCCTCCAAAAAGAAAAAGATGTAAGTGCCAAGGTGTTATTTTTTTGGTAGTAGCAATAGCAACTTTGTGTCCTTTATAACACAGAGATGTGGTAATTAGCCATTTACAGCTCGCTTTTTAAATTAGGAAGTCTTTTTTCACCTAAAATTTTCTAATGTTTGTGTACAAGATTCTTTTTAAATATAAGAACTGTATAGCATGGAATAAAGTGATGGTACAAAGACAAGCAACCCATTTGTGAGAGGAAAAGCATTCATATTTTGGGTCTGGAGTTGTTAACCATTTACCATGAGAAAGTTAATAAACACCCAGGGTAGTGGTACTACGTTCTGAAAAACTATCTAAAAGTAGGGTTTCTACAGTGTCATCCTATAACAAAACTAGTGTTGAAATTTTTCTAGAGCATTCTCTGAGGTACTAGCAGCATGCTTCTCTTCGTGGAGTCGCAACTCCTGTAGCAAGAAGCTTAGGAGGTCGTGTAGAGGGATGTGTTCTTTGTGGCCATCTCCCCTTCTATGACAGCTCCTTGTTTATCTATCTTGTACTCCCAACATGGAACACAAAGGATGGATACCAGTCTATTCCATTCCTCTCTGTCATTTGCTGGAAGTGATTAATTAATCTGCAATTAATTGCTCTGTACTCCCTTGCCAAGACCGATCCTTCAGACTTCTTTTGCACAGCATTGTTTCTCATCAGTTTATTTCAGCCTGTTTTTCAGGAATGTATACACAGGTGCCTCAATCTACATGAAACTAGGGGCAGCATTTTGAGTTAGCAATTTCTTAGGCTTGCTTCAAATATAAGTCCATCTACCCATCAGTCAGAATCTCTGTAGGCTTTTCCCTGTGCAGTTATATTTCCTGTCCAATTATTTCCAAAATGTACTTGAGTAGCATTTGAAGTTTTCAATTATTTTCTGTTCATAGGTCTTTGATTTTCATATTTTATGAAATTTACAGGCTATTGCAGATATTTGTCCTTGTTATCACTTCCATCTCTCAGTTCAGATTGGAATGCCCATAGTAACTGTATTTGTACTGTGCTTTGGCTTTCTTTCCTGCTCTTTATTTAAAGTTTGTTTTTCCAGTTTTGTTATGTTTGGTAATGGTAAGGTTGTGTCTTGTGGCTTACCCATTGCCTGGTGGACCATTTCATCTTGCACAAAGGATCTGAATTGCGGGCCACTGTCACAGAGTTTTCTGTTTTACCTCCTGGCAAAGAGCATTTTTGGAGGGAGGTGATGTTTGTAAACATGTTCTTTTGAATGGGTGTGCGCATGTGAGAAGTAGATTACAGCTGAAGTCTCTCAGCATCTTAAATAGTGATTGACTTCCTGTGTTACCTGCTCTTTCTGTTCCCTGTTGTCACATAGGTATCAGTAAGGTCGCCCACCACAGGTCACAAGCTACTTAGTGGTATCTTGTTAGTTGTATTTTGGAAACAGTTACTGAAACTTACTTTGTCCTTGTCTTGGTGTTCTGGCAAAGTGTGGTAGCATGTTTGATATCTGAGCTATATAGCTTAGAATTTTATCTCTGTGGTGTGTTGTATGATAGGTACTAAGATAATTTGGTGAGTTGACTTTGTCTGTACTGTACAAATGAAGCCCTAGAGCTTTTTGTGTTTGTTAAAATATTCTGGCATTTGATTAATCAATGTGGTGTTTTCTGGCTGATGGTAGCAAACTGGAGAATCCTTGCTTTCGGCAGCTTGGTTTGAGCACTCCTCTGTGTGGCTCTTCTTCTGTAGTATTTATGGTAAAAACAGATTTTAATTTTTTTTCCACCTGTGAGTTTTATGAAATTACTTTCATTGTGAACAGAATATATACTCCATTCAGATTGTTCTGACAGTTGTACCAGAGTTCACCTTGCAGGATTCAGAAATACAGAAGAAGCCTCTGTCACACTTCACCAAAATTTTCTTTGCTAAGATGATTCCAAGTCCTGGATCCTTTTAGGCTGAAATATAAAATATATCTGAATCAAACATTTCATAGAATGAAATGTGAAGAGCTGTCAGTTGACACAACTCCATACCTATGTAAAGCCAAGGTCTGTTCTGGTCCTTTTAGTAATACTGGACATATCTGATTTTGGAACAAACTACAACTTGGGTCTTAACAGAGTCACAATTTTATCCTTTCATTTTTGAATCCTGGCAACCTTCTGGGCAAGAACTTTTGCCAAACTGGAAGAGTATTTGCCTGATGTTACTGAAGAGCCCGTCTGTCTAGATCCTACATGGTCTAGTCCTGTTCTTCAGTTCTCTTTGGACTAAGTATCAAGCAACCATCTTTCTTTCACTAAAATCCTAGTGAATTGCAAGGTCAGCTGACACAGGAGGAAAGAGATATGGAAATGCTGGTCACTTTCACTGTTGAAAGACAAACAAAATGAAGTTAATGCATTTTGTTTGCTATGTTCACTGTACACTCACCTGTTTTTATTTCACTCTTGGCTATTGGTTTCGTGAATAAAAACCTATGGTCTCTTAGTTCACTTCATTTTCCCTTGGAATCAGCACGGATGAGGGGAAAAGGAGGATGGATGAATGGTCCCAGTGGATGCTGTTTACTACCACAACTTTGTGACACTAATCTTGATTTTGTAAGCTTATACCCTAATATTCTTATCTCCACAAGTGTAATACAGAGCAGCAACAATTCTCAAAACAAAACCCCAGTGTTCATATGGAATATATAATATTTGTTTGTTCTGTTATGAAATAGACTGAGATCCCTTAATTTGAAAGTCATGTCTAGAGTTGCATTAAATTCTTTTTAAAGTGTTGAAGTCTGAGCCTTTTGGCAACTTTTGTACTGTTAAAGGTGGATTTGTAGCACCAAGACTGATATTCGTTCTCTTTCTAATTATTCAGAGATTAAGAACAGAAAGGGATTCTTTGAAAGAAACTATTGAAGAGCTTAGATGTGTACAAGCTCAGGAGGGTCAGCTCACCACTACAGGTAAAAGACAAATGAGGAGATTGAATACATCTTTTTTAAAGTTTATAGGACTTCTCTGGAGAGTATTGAATGCCCTTTTGTTTAGCACAGAATAAATTCAAGCTCCCCCAAGATCACCAATGAAAAGCTGCTTTGGCTATTCATAACTTTGTAAGCATTTGAAAACGTCAAACTTTATTTCAGTCAATCAGAAATTTTAGTTTCCTCCTCAGTGTTAGATTTTTATAAAGTTTATGATTTCTGTGTTGATTTAATTTTCTTGAGAGATATTTTCTCATGCGTGTATAATGTTTCATGTGCAGTAATTTATTTCTATGTGTAGTGTTGAACAGCTTTATAGTTAGATAACCTAATGAGCATAAAATACACAAGACTGATTCAGCAAAAAGTATGCAGGCAGAAAGAGTGATTATTCTCCAGATTAAATTGTAGTTCTCTGTTTTGCTGTAGTCTGACTTTGTGTCATTTTCCATTGCCTAGCATTAGTCTAAAAGTGTAAACTTCTAGAAGAATATTTACTTGTGGTCTTATGGTGGTTACTGGTATGCTTGCTAAATTTTTTTCCTTTTTCTAACCCAGGATTGATGCCCCTGGAAGGACAAGAGCCTTCAGACAGTTTAGCAGCAGAAATCATTACTCCAGAAATAAAGTGAGCTAATTTGTGCTTTGTTTTACTAACCTTTAAAATGTACCCATAGATAATTGGTTTTCAGTGTTAGAATGCTTCTACAATGAATATTTTTTTTCTCACCTTTTGTATTTCTGCACTATAGCAGCTATTACACTTAATATGAAACTCAGTTGATCTATCTTGAATTTGTATCATGCTCCAAAAAATAAGGGAAAACCAAAACTAAACACAAACAGAACCCAAAACCCCTTTATTTTGTGCCTCCTTTTTTTCTGCAGTTCATATAACTGCTTATATGTGCATTAACAGACAAAAATGTTTGTAAAAATAAGGTGGTGGTGTGCAAGTTAAAAATCACTAGAATTGTGGAAGGAATAGTATATTATAAATTTCGTTTTGTATCATGGTGAACATTTAGACTCTTATTAAAAGGAGCAGTAATGGCGAAGCTGAAAATCATTGTATTTTAAGATGTTGCAGTCTGTGTTTACCCTTGCCAGTATGCTAAGAGTTTTTGAGGCAGTCACATCTCAGAAGTCTGTTAGGTCCTCAGGAAATCTTTTTTTATCTCTAGCAATAATGATACAGTATTTATACACTTGGAAAGCACAGTGTCTATGCCTAGGATGCTCGGAGCGTC